ACCACAAGAAAGTGATGTATCTCTATTATGAATCGAGACACTCTTTCTCTAAGCCACAAGAGAAGTACATAACTTACCTTGGAAATGAATCGACATCGGACACTCCAGAGTGTGGTTTTATGGAAGAAGGTTGTGAAGTCCTGGTGGTACGCACCAAGGATGTATTGCTGTATCGGTATGTTCGTACCATGTTTGAGTCAATGGGTATATATGTATGTGAGACTATATGAATGTGTATATGTATGTGAGACTATATGTATGTGTATATGTATGTGAGACTTTAGGAATGTGTAGATGTATGTGAGACTATATATATGTGTATATGTATGTGTACGCTATATAAATAAGTATATACATAGGTATATATACCAACAAAGTCTTTCCTAAATAGTATGGATAAAACATATGTATTTGAGACTATATATGTGTATAATTTAAATATGTATGTGTACATCTATGTGTATATGTATGTGTATATGTACGTGTACATGATGTGTATATGATGTGTATATGTATGTGTACATGATATTTATATACATATTTGTATGTGTATATACGAACAAAGTCTTTCCTAAATAGTATGGATTAATTACATGTACTTGAGAGTATATGTAAGCGTATATGATGTGTATATGTTCGTGTACATAATATATATAAGTAAATATGTAAGTGTATGTACAAATTAGGTCTCTCCAAAACAGTATGGATTGATGGGATAGTGTATGATTATGAATGAAATGGAGTCCTACGCACCCATCTATGCCAATGCCCATATATGCCAACGCTTGCAACAGTGTGATATATGTGATTATTGATATACGTATGTATCAATACATATATATATTGAATAAATTATATATTCACATGGCATTCTGTCATGCAAGCAGGCATCTTCCCCAAACGCAATAAAAACATAAATACCTGTAACTAAGCCGTTTGGGTTGCAGTCGACGAGACATGTTCGTGGTGGTCAGCTCCGAGTCCGGGTCCGCGCTGTTATGGTAACGCGTGCTCGTGCGGCCATCTGATTGGTGGAGCCCATCTGGCACTGATACGGCCCTATTCGACATCCTACCCATCCCTTGGCTGGCTGTACCCCGACTACCCCTACGCCTATTCGCAGCACTTCTATTTTTAGAATCACTCCGACTCCCCTCACCCACACCCGGATCGCCGTCCGCCCCATCGCCGTCCGATCTACTCCCACCTCTATCCATAGCTTCCGTTCTATTTATAGACACAGAGGCCATTCTGTTTTGAGATGGCTCCCGCTCATCCCGGCCTAGCTCGGGCGAGATATTGTGCGATACCGTCTGTGAGCGAGACGGTCCGTATGTGCGCGTGCGTGTGTTCGTACCTGTACTTGTACTTGTACGTGTACCTGTGCGTGGACGTGGCTCCCCCCCATCCTCCCCTCCTTCATGCACACCATCACCTCTCTGTAGGCTGGTGCCAGTGTACTCATGGTCGTACAGCGGTCCATAGTTTCGCATGTGTGTCTGTGGTTGGGAGTGACTGTGTGCCAGGGTGGGTGCGTGGGTGCGTGTGTTTGTGTGTAAGTGCACGTGGGTGCTCTCCTGGTGGTGTAGTGGCGTGGGGGTGTCTGTAGGGGTCTCCTGGGGGGTGTGCGTGTCTGTGGATGGCGTTTGCGCAGAAGCCCTTTTTTGGTGTGTTCTAGAGCGATGACTTGATGCTTGTTTTGCGCCTGTCCAGAATGAGCAATGGCTGCGGTCAGAGTGTATTGGGATCGGTACAATTTTCCGACAGAACAGCTTGTACGTGTAGTGATGGTATATATATACAAACACACACATATACTCACATGTATGTCATGAGGGCGGCTACATAGTGTTTGATGGTATGTGCTAACACGAAACAAGGGACACAAAGACGAACCAATCATAGCAACCCAATTGATAATATTAAACCCTACGGTGAGAATTGAGTGTCGACATACACACACACACATCCAAAGAAAGGACAGGCCTACCATTCATTGCCCATGCGCACTCGTGCCGGGATAGTGTCAACGCAGACTGTCATGACAGTGACATCTGTGACAGGTGACATGATATGTGACACCGTTGCAGCCCGCATACGGACGCCAATAGCTACATCTAGATGGATACTTCATTCACCCGGTGTGTACATATGCACATGTATCTGTATATGTACCCACACATGTATTTATATTTATACATATGCACATATACACAAAAACAATCTGACACAACACAACAAAACTGACACGCCTGACACAGATATACACACATTAACGCCTGAAACGCAAAGCGTAGACAGATAAACAACTATTAACCACTAGGCTAGCACGCATGTGAACGTCCTCTAACAGACAGACATGTTACCTCCGTAACTGCGCACTCGCGGAGGATTGGTGTCAATGCTTCGGTTGGAGACAGATGTCATGTCACCTTTGACATGTGACACGACGTTTGACACCGTTGTCGCGCGCGACAGACGCTTGGAGCCAGCACTGCTTGAAGGCTTTGACTGCTGAGAATCTATTTATGGAATGACTTGGGGTTTTAGGGTTTAATGATTTAGAATTTATTTATAGAATGAGGTGTGTGGGAGGGGGGGGAGGGGGGGGGGTGTAGAGTATAACGAGTCAGAAAGAACAGATAGAAAGCACTTGATAAAATTGGTGTACGCAAGGGTCTAGAATACTGCGTGCGTGTATGTTGGATCATATCTACATAAATACCTACACAAACAAATATCAACAGACAACACTCGAGTGTGTGTTAGATCATACCTACATACATAACAGGTATTTGTATGTGTGTATGTACATATATATATACATATGTATATATATATATATATATATATATATATATATATANATATANATATATATATATATAATATACATATATATATATCTATCTATCTGAATGTGCATGTGTATATGCATATGCATATGCACAGGTATATGTATATGTATATGAATATGCATATGTATATATGTATATATATTATATGTACATGTATATGTATTTGTGTATATGTATATGTATATGTATATGTATATGTATATGTATATGTATATGTATATGTATATGTAGATGTATATGTATAAGTTACATGTATAGGGTATATGTATATGTATATGTATAT